CTTTTACTTGTAAACAATGTAACCACCCAGGGGCTTACACAAGCAAAGAAACAGTGGCACTGGCAGAAAATGTGTGTCTTTGCTTATTACATTTATAAAACACACTTTATTTTGGTAAATACAATCTGAGATGAACCTCACCACATGACACATTACGCTGTGTCATTAATTATTTAACAAATTTATTCCAAAATGCAGAAGCAGTGCATGAAAAACAAAATATATACTTATTGCCTCTATTGGAATTAGGATGGTAAGTAGCATCCATGTACTAGTAATCAAACACTCGATAAACTGATCATCAGAAAGTGTGAGTGCCTCTACCAAAGCAGATGTTATTGCAGTTTGCTGGTCTGGAGCATTCAGGGGCGTGTTAACACAATGCCAGGGAGGAAAGACATCAGCAATGATCTCAGAGGAGCAACTGCTGCTACCCAGTCTGGGAAGGGTTATAAGACCATTTCCAAACAATTTAAGGCCATCATTCTACAATGAAAAATATTATTCACATGTAGAAATTATTCCAGGCAGTTGCGAATCTTCTCAGAAGTTGATGTCCCAGCAAATTCACCCCAAGGTCAAACTGTGAAATGCTCAGAGAAAAGGGCCTCAGTTAGCATGTAAAATGTTAAAGTTTTTGACAGCACAATCAGAAAAAGACTGAACAAGTGTGGTTTGTTTGGAAGGGCTACCAAGTGTCAAGCATGGTGGTGGAGGGGTGATTATTTGGGCTTCTTTTGCAGCCACAGGACCTGGGTACCTTGCAGTCATTGTGCTTGGCTGAAACTGGGTCATGTAACTGAACAATGATCCTCAAGTTATCGCAAGTTATTGCTATTAAGGGTTTCTATAAGCTACTGAATCATGAGGTCTACTTAACTTAACAATTCTATGGTTCTGCATTCTGTCTTAGTTTTGTTAAATAAATAATGACATGGAGTAATATGTCATATGTTGTTGTTCATCTGATGTTGTATTTACCTAATTTTAAGACCCAATTGTTTATTATATCCTGATATGTAAAACCTAAGAACTGACAGAGGGTGTATTATCCTTTAACATTAGTGTACATGCTAAACCTAGGAAAAACAGGGGCTCTAACTGAAAAAAATGTCAGCATTGTCACTGACAGTTATAGCACAGCATGACCATTTTTTTCATACATTTTTGTACATAGCAGAGGTATGACGTCCAAAATCACAACCCTGAAAAATGCAATGCAAAAACACCATAAACACGATTAAATAGAAATAACATCATAGACGAAAATACAGAGCAGAATACAACTCTGAAAAGTGAAGCCAGCGCACAAGTTTCTTAAACTTGCATTTTTTCTAATGGCCAGCAGGGGGCATCTTCTTCGTTTGCAAATCATATAGATATATATATACTGTATATGGTTTTCAGGGTTTTTATCATTAACTCGATTTCCCCAGGTTTTTTCCCGTGTGTTATGAATAAATATTCTTTTGTTTGGTACCGGTTCTGGTTTTATTTTGTTGTATTCATCTGCAGCACCTTAAAGGCCAGTCTGTAAAAATATTGTCAGACCATGGCGCAAAAAAGGTTGGGGACCGCTGATATAAACACCCAGGGGAAACAGTTCTCCTGTTCTTTTGATCTATTGTATTGTATTGTATTGTATCTTTATTTCAGACATATACAGAAAAAAACAATATATACACAAGTACACATACTTGCATTTACAAATACAAATATATATGTAAATACACACACGTATGTGCTCAGATAAAACAAAAAAAAGAAAATAAATAAAATAAAACAAAGTCTAAATGACATGAAATGACAAACCTATGATGCCAAAAAGACTAATCATTACTTTTACATCATACTGAGTACAAAAAAATGTTCAGTTTTATAAATTATGGTCCAAGTAGCATATGCTTTAGTATGGGCTTATTATAAATAGCAATTTACTACCATACGAGTGTGTGTTATCCCTCGGATTCTAAGTCACCTCCCCTCCTTACTCAAGACATCCAATTTTAAAAACACCACGAAGGCCTCAGACAAACTTCCTGGCATTAGGCTTCAACAGGGGACTTTGCGAATCAGTAGGTGATGTCATTGTGGCTATGTCCATTTTCTTATAAAGTCTATGAGTAGCAGTTGAAACAAAGTTGTTTCAACTGCTACAATTATTTTAGAACAATTTTTTTTCTTATGACTAAAATTCTTAATCTCAGTGAAAATAATGGGCAAAGGTGATTATTAAAAAAACATAATGTCTGCCAAGCTGACTGACTAACTGATTTTCATTTTTTATTCTATGCTCTGCAGCTGCTCGGTCCCGCAGTGAAAAAGGCCCATTGTCCATGATGCCCAAGGTGCCAAAATGTGTAACCACGGCAATTCTCTGGCTACCCACCAGAAAAAAAGGAAGTAGGCAGACAAGTAGAATGAAAGATAAGATATGCTGGTAGGAGAGCAGTGTAAGTGAAATGGAGGATATGTGTGTATGTGTGTCTATGTGTGTGTGTTATAACTAAGATGTGATATAGTGAGATAACATGAATCAAGTGGAGAAATGAATGGAGAGGCAGAAGGTGAGACAGTGAAATACGACACTGTCTCAACGACACTGAATGGCACAGAGAGAGAAGAAATGTAAGGCAAGGAAATTCATTTATCAGTAGAAGGAGTTCAGAAGCACATGATCCATAATCCTTCTAGAGAATATTAAAAGACCAACTTGCACTGGAATTCCTAATGGTTTTAAAGGTTCCCTTTTTAACAGCCTGAAAAACAGCATCTGAATGGACATCAAGAAGTAAATAATTGGAAACTGTTAGTATCTTTAAATCTTAAACTTTCCCTTTAAGACTGACTAGCAGATGTATCCACTCTAGGTTTAAGTGCTCAAATGTCTGGCAGGCTGGCTAGCACGGAGCAATAATCACCCACTTACACACATACACACTCACATTCACTCTAAGACCCTGCTGGGCCGAGGAAAGCTGAAGACGATGATGTCATGACATAAACAATAGCTCATTCAGCTTGGCGCTGGTGGTCAGGAAGCAAGACTGTGCCTAAAGTACTACATCTGTAGACTGGTAAGGAGAGGAGAAAAGAAGAGCAGAACTGACATCCAAAATCCTTCATTCATCCTGTAAGTCATACCAGAGTCTGAGCAAATCCCAGCAGTTAGCTGAGCAGATAATGTCAAAGGTCTGTGCATCTATTTGGCATTCCAGTATGTTTCTAACTGCAGGAACTGTGCAAGGGGGAAGAGCTGATGAACACGCCACAGGGACTGTGTGCACACCAGCGAGGGAGACCTATAGCCAAAGTTCAAGTTACATGTTTTCGCCATATGGTTTGCGTTACTGCTTCTCCCTTCAGTGGCTCTACGTTGTCTCCTTCAACCCATTTTACTACTATTAAGGTAATTAATTGTAAGAAAGTCATGTCAGCTGTTACCGTGTCCCCACAATCCCTCCAGGTCTGGCTTCATGTAACAATGTTACATGTAAAATTTCTGTGTATTTATGGAATTTAATGGAATCTGGTCAAATGAAATGTACTTGATTCGTATACATTCAGTTTATATCAAGCATATTTTCCTTAATGATTAATTATTTGGATAAATAAAGCTTTGATTTTATATATGTGTATTATGATAATAGCTAGAGGTCCATGAAGTACACGGAGTTCATGGTAATTTGGCACACACATCTAAGCTCTGATAAAACCTGCAACTGAATCAACTTTACATCCACTCAAAGTGTCACAGTTTAAAGGCTAAAAATGTGCTTTTGTTCAGCATGGTATTTCGCTATAACCAAATTTGAACATCAATATCATAAAATATATCATAGTTTCAATACCAAAACTCCACCAAGTTAATGTCTGTGACATTAGAGAGGCAGAAATAAGCATTATTACCATGATCTGTTTCCTTCATAGTGAACCAATATATCAGGTTCCAACCTAACCTGTTACTGGTCAAAATGTCAAAAATGTAATCTTCATCAAGAACGAAACTAGTTCTCTTTGTCGAAAAGCCCAACGAGTTTGTTTTTTCCTGCTCACACAAGTGATTCATTATGCTGACAGGCTGCCATGGATCTTATCTAGTGTAACCCTCCCATAGAAAACCACCACACTCCTCCTAAAATTTAAGTTTCTGTTCAAAAGGTCTTCTGTCATGATGCATAAACCTCTCATTTGACAGTACTAAGGTTATCTCTCTCTATTGTATCCTTTAAGCAAAAGAGGTTGGAGAGAGCAAATAGTCGAGCCACAGTCTGCAGCTCTGATGAATAAACTCTGTATACATTTACCAGAGGCTCCTCTAATTTCAAATGCAGCAGTCCTGCTTTAACAGTCCCACTGGTTTCATCAAAATGTTAAAGCTTCCTTGTATTGCAACTTTTTGTTTGTTCAGTTTGGCTTAATGCAACATTTGTGTGAATGCAACATTTTTGCTGGAGTGCACAAAACTGTGCAGCCATGAACACTGAAAGATTCAGTTCCTTTATTTTCCAAAAATATGAACATTTTAAGCTAAGTAACGCATGCCTACATTTGTTGCTTCCATCATGGTTATTGTTTAAAGAACTGTCTCAGTTTGCATATGTGGAAAGAGGTGGGCCACCTCTTTCCACCCCAACCAGCCCTCCCTGTCCACCTCTCTAAGGACCTACAGCTGGGCTTCACTTGTTCACGCCACCTACTGGTTAAGCCAAGGTCACATTAAGTTAAGTTAATTACACTTGAGTAAGACATCTGCATAAGGCTTCAACAACCACATAACCTGGAAGCTGTCATCAGTCATTTAAATATTCATTAAACTGTGTTTAACATTGAATGTGTAAAATGACCCACCCACCATGCAAAAACATCCTCATTTTATATAAATTCTTTAATGTATTACACCATATTTTCTCAGGATTGTCATATTTACTTTTTAAACCAAATTCATCCCTTTAGAATAATGTTATTTGGTCCACACATGGAACTAAAGTAAAACTTACCTGACAGAGTTAATCATGTCTCCCTGGCAATCTGTGTGATAGCCATTAGGAATGGCCCAGCGTCCAGGCTGGCTCAACACAAACTCTGATCTGCTCCCAGGTATGGTGGTCCTCAGCGGGCTTCCTCCTACTCCAGCCACTGCTCCAGCACTGTCCCCAGCCCCGAGTTCAGGCCCTGGGGCATCTGTTCCAATCTCAGCCCCTTCTTGCTCCTGAACTGTTGCCAACTCAAGCTCCAGAGGTTCAGGACCTTGTAACAGTGCCCTCTGTTGGATGAGCGGTGTCAGTGGCGCCTCAAAGCTAACACAGCTGTCTGTCTCATCTGTGAGTGACAGAACATCCAGAGAGTCCAGGCTGCTATAGCAGGTCCCACCCCTGAGCAGGGCAGACTCCACGATGCGCTCAAATGTGGAGCTGAAACCATCTTTGTTGTCCACCCTACTTTTCTCCCTCTCCTCCTCCAACTCTCTCTCGTCTTCCTCCTCTTCATCCTGAATGTCGACCTGCTCGACAATCTGTTCAAAAGCTGAGCTGAAACTGTCCTGGTTTTCTCTGCCATCACCTTCTTTTTGGACCTCTTCCTCCTCCTCCTCCACTTCGGTGTCAGCCTGTTCTACAGTTGTCTCAAAATTAGAGCTGAAAGTGTCCAAGTGTGTTTGTATCGCCCCCTCATCTCCCCCCTCGTCCTCTTCACCTACTTCATCTTCATCGTCATTCCCAGTTATACCATTTGCCAATCTATATCAACAGGAAGAAAAGAAAACATCTGACCTACACGCATGAAAATGGATAAAAATATGCAAAAAAGATCAGTCATCTTGTTCATCTAAAAACACTGTGCTATTTACTACAATATGATACAAAAGCATCGCTATTTCATCCCTTTTTTTAAAAGAAAAAGGTTAGATGTACTTTGCTTTCAGTATGTCTTTATCATTCTGCGTAGTTTTTGCTTGTCATATATGAATCTGCTAATTAGCAGGCACATTTTTCTTCCACATGTTGAGCTTTTTACAGACTGCCCTCCACTAATGTCTTTCTGGGACAGTTGGGGAGCTGGGAAATGGTTGCTGTGTCCCTTAGCTCATTTTCAGCTCATTAAGTTGAGGCTTATTGACTATTTATTTTGTAAAATATGAGTAAAGCACATTAGGCTAATTATGTACAAAGGGAACCGCAGAGATAAAACAATTTAACATAAAAAATATTCAAATCACAAAGCACAAAAAACATTGACCAAAAGTGACACTCTTAGGTTATTATAAAAATATAAGGAAGCTGTGTTTGTCTTTTTAGCAATGCAAATTAACAGGCAAAATGACACTTGCTTGCTCTGACAGGTAAAGTGGTACAAATACAATTTTGTCCACTAACCGGCCAGCTTGTTGAGAATTAGTTGCCTCCTCTTCCGTGCATGGGTGAATTTCTTCATTTTCCTTCCCCTCCTCTTCCTCTTTCATCTCCTCCGCCTCATGTGTTGTCTCCTCCCCCGTTAAGCTTTCCTCCATATTTATACATCCTCCCCCCTTCGTCCCTTCCCTCTCCCCCTCCGCCTCTCCTTCTGTCAGCTGATGCTCATCCCCGGCCCCATCTTCACACTCCTCTTTCAACTCCCCTTCTCTTCTATCACCTTCCACTTCCACCATCCCTTCTACTTCTCTCTGTGTTTCCCCCTCCTCACTTTCCCTGACGTCTTCTTCTTGTTTTCCTTCGTCTGTCTCATCCTTTGCTCCAGCATCCACCTTGTCCTCATCTGTCTTGTCATGTGTCTCTTTGGGTGGGTCAGTAGTGGTGCTTGTACTGGGCTCTACTGGGTTCTCTGGTGGGGTGGGAGAGGGCAGAGCCTGCCCCTCCTGGGTCATGGTGCCCTTCCCTGCAGGGGATGGGTGACTCTCCACTTAGACAAAAGATGCAGATTAAACCTTAAATTTGGATGTATCCTCTGCAGAGAAAAGAAGAAAAGAAAGATACACCACCATGAACCAGAGCAGTCATTTGATTATTTCTCTTATGACCTCTGTGCTTTCCTCTGCAAGTCACAGAGGTCACTCTTAACAAAGCAGCAGCTGTGCATACGTGTGTTTTTAGGTGTGCAAGCCAGTGTTGGAGAGAGATATACAGTATATGTTGGAACATTATGTCCTCTGCAGCAGATGATCCCAAAACAGCTCTGAAAGGAGGGCGACGAACGGCAGAGGAACACAGGCAGGCACAGAGATTCTCGGCAGATTCCTTATAATAGTAGCTCCTCTTGATCTCCATGGAGATGCCTGCCTTCAATGCACTTAACCCTGTGAGGTCCAAGTCATCAATGGCAACAATCCCAATCACATCCTCTAGGCCCTAATCCTAATCTTATGTTAGGGTCAGGGGTTGATTGATTGATTTTCTTTTGTCCACTGATTATCAAGACTTGGGAAAACAATTTTTACTTAAAAAAAACAAAACAATCACATGTTCTGACAGCATAGTGTTAGGTTCATCACTGATGATGGCTTACACACAGTTAATGCATCATAGAACTCTGTAAACGTATTGTAAAGGTCTGCTGCTGATCTGTTAGCCCTCTGTTTATATTCACCTTTCAGGAGTTTATGGGCAAATGCTAATGAGCAGCTCTCAGAAACAGTTCCTGTTGTAAAATGTTGAATAATGCAGTTGTTGATGTATTTTTCTTATATAAATTATATGGAGAGAGACTTAGTGAGAATTTAAAAAATATACATTTATCTTTTTTGAGATCCGATGAAATGATGGCGTGAAATGGTGACTAAGAGAAATATGAATAATTAATGAATAATGAATCGTTTCTTAGTCACTGTTAAGCAAAGCTTATTTGGTTCCAGCTTCTCATATTGATTGTCTTTCTCTCATTTAAAGTTAGTTTGTTTAGGCTTTGGATTTTTAGTTTCACATAAAGTCGAGCAACTTTAAAGCTCAGTCTTTAAGATTCAAAGACTGAAACATGAACGTCTATGACATGAAAGCTGGATAAGCTTCATCAGTTGAGGGAGTTTGTGTCATACTGAACAGCTCCAGAACAGCTATTTATTGGGCCAAATGCTGTTTCCAAGATCAAGAATATTTGATTATGTTTTTATTGCTATGTTGTTCTATGTGTCAGTATCATAAAAAGGGCTGCCAGGAAGCAGCCCTGCCAGTCTGCTCATGCTCTACTGGTTCTCTGCTTTGCTGAATCATCCACAGCTTGGGAATTGCAGCACAACTGCAGTAAAATATTTAGTGGAATTCATAGCTTCCTCTGATAGCATGCAGATGTAGGTAAGGGTCCTGTTAGGCCAAAATGAACTTCCATATCTGGATTCTGGTTTCTCAGGGGAAAAATTGTCTGCCAAACTGTGCAGAAAAAAACTGAACCATTTTAGAGAGGACAAATTTATGGCAGGCTAGATAGTGAGCCAAATTTGTATCTACAAGTATGATGTTGGAAGTGCTTTGGCTTACCCCTGAGCATGAGGACACCACAGGCCCAGAAACTGTTTCATCAGAGTTGCAAAAGGATGATGAATTTATGGAGAGTTCTCTCCTTACTAAAGTTGAACTTCTTTGAGTTTTACTTATGTTGTCACACAAATGCAAGCTGGAGCTCTCACTCTGGGAGTGTTATTGTAGACACATTTAAAAGACACAAATAAGAGTGCATCTTGCTTGTCGCATTTCATTCTGAAAAGGCGAAGACGGTCTTGTGTCGCAGCAAGAAATGCAGGTAAACTTTTAAAAACGGAACAAAACACAACACAGGCACAACCAGGCACTGTGTCTCTGCTACTGTAGCCTCCTTTAATCCTCATCCTCTCTCTGACTGCTGCTGCGATGATCTCAAAGGACCGACAGATTTCTGAACAAAGTCTTTCTGAGTACACCATCGGTGACTGGCCGACTCATTTTCTTTTGTTTTTTTGTCTTTTACTAGAAGGATTATGGGAGTGGCTTGCATTATTCATAAGTCACCAGATTGTTTCAGAGTTCCATCCATGAAAACATCATAGTTTTCACAAACAAGACATTTAAAACTCCATTATAGCACACTATGAAAAGTGTATCTCACAAACTAGTAATGAATCTGAAAGCTTCTTAGGCCTCAAAACATTTTTGGATGAGAATTTGCTGACCAATCTCTACTATAATGAGCTTGAATATTCCCAAACTGGGGTGCTCACATTTCCAGCGGGGCTTTATGGATTCCATATTCATGTATGAGTATGAGGCATATGAACAATTTGCATGTATTTATGCTACTCCACAAAGTGGAATTTGCACATATTATTAAGCAGTGAAATGCACACACGCACACACATAGACGCACAAATAAAGCAGTGAAACATTTCCATAAATGGAAGCAGTGAGCGGTTATGAAACCAGACACGAGAAGTGGGAATTCTCCGTCTCTCCCTCTCTGCATGTCTCCGGTGTTCTGTTTTTCTCCCACTCTGTCTTCCTCATCTGTTCACCATTATGCTTTCTGCTATCTCACAGTCTAACTCTGCACTCTCTACCACTCATTTTGCAGTAATTGAGGTAAATGGGTCTTATCCAAAGGAGGGGGTGGAGGGAAGAAGGATAGTGGAAGTAAGCAGCACTATGAATCCGGCTGCTGAGGAGAGACAGAGCAGATGTGCTCAGACACCCCACATGGACAGATGAAGAAAACACAGCCAATAAGAGAGAGACAGTGTGTGTGTGTGTGTGTGTGTGTGTGTGTGTGTGTGTGTGTGTGTGTGTGTGTGTGTGT